GCACGCGGAGGGCTGCATGCATGTGGGAGGCCGCACGTACATGTCAACATGTGTACGTATGTTGGCTTATGTGCGTGTTCATGCGCACATACACACCTTTCAGTTTGGGCACGCGCACGCACGCAGTTTGGGCACTTGGTATCTAAAAGGTTTGCCATCACTACCCTATATGCAGGGGTGGGTTCTAAAATTTGTTACTACCGGTTCTGTGGGCGTGGCTTGATGGTCATGTGACAATTCTTTAGGATTTAGCAGAGGTACTGGTCTACCAGGCTTTTAACTGCTTGTAGAGCTGTACTGGTTTACTCATTTGTTTTTGCAGGCACCGGTCTACTCATTTGTTTTTGGAGGCAGCGGTCTACCAGCACACTGCCTTTTAACACTGATCAGCTGTAGGGCGGCCCTTTGAAGCCCCAGGGCAAGAGTTTAAACAGCTTTTTTCCTTCTAGCAGACCAGCTGGGACTCAGGAGGCAGCAATAGATTGGGGGTGGGGCCAAATAAAATAATGTGGGGGGGGCAGGGGGGAGCAGAACTGGTTCGGTGATGTCATATTGTCACCACTACCGGCTCGGCGGAACCAGGCGGAACCCACCACTGCCTATATGTATATAAGGCACAGATCTCTACTTCATAGATGGTACAAACACACTTGGTTATATAAAAATTGAGCTTGTCTCTGGAGACATGGCTGAAGCAGAGCTTTTAATAATTCACATATTATTTATCATTGTGACATATTCTGGCTGTAAGCAGGAAATTATAGTAATTCTAAAGATATGCACATCCAGTATAAATTCAGCTGTTGTTACAATGTATGTATGAGTAATAATATTTTTTTAAAAACTTGTATCCCATTTAAGTCTTAACAACACTGGGCTGCTCACAGAGAAATTACAATAAAACCAATAAAAGATAAAGATAAAAGATGGCAGGTGTGATAAAGCAAGGGATCTCACTATCCTTTGTCAAACACTGGGTGAAAATCCTGGTTTTTATGCCTCTCCTAAGCAACAACAGAAAGAGAGTCATCCAGATCTTGAGGGAAACCTTGTTCGAAAGGACAGGGGCTGCTATAGAAAAGGTGTGCTCCTGGGGCCCTTATATATGCCATTCTTTAATCAAAGGAATCCGGAGCCCCCAACCCTGCAGAATCAAATTGGCCAGGGAGATGTTATGGGAAACAGGCAAGTAACCTGGCCCTATGCCATGTAGGGCTTTATAGATAACAATCAGCATCTTGAATTGCACCTGGAAACAAACTGGTGCAGCTTGTGAAGCAGATGGATTACATAGGCATGCCCATTACTGCTTTCACTGCTGCATTCTAGACCGGTTAAAGATTCAAGGACAGCACTAAATAAACCATGTTGCAATGGTCAAGCCACAAGGTGACTAGGGCATAAGTGACAGTCTAACTCACAGGTGTCAAACTCGATTGCATCATGTAACATATTGTGATGTATCATGACGGGTTTTTGCCTTTGTGGAGCTGGGGTGGGCGTGGCCTGCACATGATGCATCCGGACCGTGGACCACCAGTTTGACGAACCTGGTCTAACTCATCTAGGAAAGGGTGCAAATGATGCACCAGATGGAATTATGGAAAGGCCACAGCTGACACCTGTTCTAATAGGAACTGCGAGTCCAAGAAGATCCCTAGACCCTACCAATTCTGAAGGGGGAAGTGTTACCTCATCCAACATCAGAGATGGAATATCCCAAAATCTGGGCAGTCCCAAAACCCACAATGATCCGACCTGGGTAGGACTGAATCATAGACCCTTCCTCCCCATTCAAACTTGTACAGCCTCTAGGCACTGAAACAGAACCTTGATAACCTCACTTGGCTGGAGCAGAATTAAAAGTTATAATTGGGTTTTATCAGCATACAGATGGTACTGAATTCCAAACTGGTGGACCAAATCACCCAGCAGTTTCATATAGATGTTGTAAACGAAGGAAAAAGAGAGAAGAATTCTACAGTACTCCACACAGGAAGAGCCTAGCTCTAGGGAGTGATCTCCCTCTTCCCAACCAACACCAACTGGAACTGGCCCCACATGAAATAAGAGAACCACTATAAAAACAATGCCCCTCTATCTCCATCTCACAAAGCCAGTTCAGAAAGATATTATGGCTGATAGTACTGAAGCCACCGAGAGATCAAGAAGATAATAAAAAATATTATTTATCATTATTTACACACGCATATAGTAAATAAAGCTCATTTATTGTGAGCAGAAATGTTCACAATCCAGAATTTGATCTAGAAAACCAGATCATCTATATCCACACTAAATCAAATTACACTGATTTTAGACTTAATCTTTGCTGCTTGAAAATGAATTCCCTTGAGTTCAGTGATATATAGTCTCGAGTAAATGTGATTAGAGCTGCTGCAGCTTTTCTAATTTACATTCAAGCTGAATTATTAATATGAATATTAATATGGTTTCTGAATATAGCAGTCACGCTACCACTCTTTCATAATTTTTCCAGGCTAAATATATAACATTCCTCTAGCTTTTCCCTGTGGGAGATGGGCATGACGTCACTTACTACTTCTATTGTCCCCCACCAAAGATATTGCAATTTTTTGAAATCTTTCTAACCAAAACACCTCAGCCAAATGAGGCTCAGGAGTAGGAATGTATGGCCCTTCCTCCTTATTATCCCACATGCAAGAATCAAAGCATTTTAGAGCTGGAAAAAGCCATTTAAGTCAGAAAGCCCAAGTTTAGGAATCCAAATTAAAACATGCTCAACAGATGGCTGTGTCATTTCAAATGAGGAACCTGCCACAAGCTTCAACTATCCCAACTATTTTTCAGTTTTTCCTAATTTTCAACAGCCATGTTCTGCAGAATAGAATGATAGATCTTAGCCTTCTGTGTGATCCACCTTTAGTATTTAATCTCAGTGGTGAAATCCTGCCGGTTCTGTCCGGTTTGCGCGAGCTGGTAGCACCGGCGACGAGTGATTTGGTGAACCGGTAGCAGCGGCAGCACGAGGCTCCGCCCACCCGCCTGGATGTCATTACTTTCTGGTTTTAACCTTCTGCGCATGCACAGAGGGTCAAAAATCAGACATGATGATGGCGCACGCACTTCCGAACCGGTAGGGAAGGTAAGCAGATTTCACCCCTGCTTAATCTCCTTTGAAGATAATAGATTGAAAATGAAACTGTAATGTCTATTTATTTTCACAATTAGGTGAGCCTTGGTAGTACAGTGGTTTAATGCACCCTGTAATTAACACAGCTGCCTGCAATTTCTGCAGGTTCGAATCTTACCAGGCTCAAGGTTGACTCAGCCTTCCATCCTTTCTAAGGTAGGTTAAATGAGGACCCAGTTTGTGGGGGCAATAAACTGACTTTGTATAAATATACAAAAGTATGAAGGCTATTGCTTAACGCATTGTAAGCCGCCCTGAGTCTCCGGAGAAGGGTGGCATATAAATCAAATTAAAAAAAAAAAAAGGTACTGATTGTGGTATAACTAAAAGTATTATGGCTGTAGATGTAATATTATTAGTATTACACCGATTACAGTATCCCGTGTGTGCTATTCAATCAGAGAATAGAGCTGGAATGGACCTTGGAAGTCTTCTAATCCCAACCCCCTGCTCAAGAAGGAGACCCTATAATATCATTTCAGACAAGTGGCTGTCCAGTCTCTTCTTAAAAACCTCCAGTGATGGAGTACCATGACTTCTGGAGGCAAGCAGTTCCACTGGTTAATGGTTCACCTCACTGACAGGAAATTTCTCCTTAATTCCATATTCTCTCCTTGATTAGTTTCCATCGTTTCTTGTTTTGCCTTCTGGTGCTTTGAAAAATAAGTTGATTCCCCCCCCCTCTTCTTTGTGGCAGCCCCTCAAATACTGGAATATTGCTTTCATGTCACATTGAGTTAATTGTTGCAGAGCACCATGTTATAGCTTTTCGGAAATGCTTGAAAGGAAATTCAATGCAGGTAATCCTCAATTTATGATCACAACTGAGCCCAAAATTGCTAAGTGAGAAATTTGTTAAGTGAATTTTGCCTCATTTTACGACTCTTCTCGCCACATTTGTTAAGTGAATCAATGCAATTCTTAAATTAGTAACCCGGTTATTGAGTGAATCTGGTTTCCCCATTGACTTTGCTTGTCAGAAGGTGGCGAAAGGGGATCACATGATTCTAGGACACTGCAACCGTCATAAACGTGAGTCAGCAATCAAGCCTCCGAATGTAAATCACATGATCCTGGGGAACGCTTCAATGGTCATAAGTGT